GTGAAATGGCCCTGAAATTGCATGTCTCTCTTGGAACAATACGTAAACATGTAAGGTATATGGGAAAACTCCATAAAGCAGGTGTTTGGGTGCTTCACGAACTCTCCGATGATCATCGTTTCCAACGTATGAACTTTGCTTCGTCTCTTCTGGCACGTGATGCGGGTGAACCATTTTTGGACAGAATTGTCACCAGTGAAGAAAAATGGATTCTCTATGCGAATATTAAATGCCAAAAACAATGGCTCAGTCCTAGACAAAAACCTGTACTCCATCTGCCGAAAAAGAGATGCTTTGCATTTGGTTGGACATCAAAGGAGTAATTCATTTCAAACTCCTCAATTCACAGCAAACTGTCAATGCAGAGATCTATAGTCAGCAACTGGAACGTTTAAATCAAGCCCTTCCTCAGAAATGTGCTTCACTCATCAATCGGAAAGGTGTTTTCCTTCTCCACAACAATGCACGTCCACATAGACAAACCTTTATTTTAGTTTATTAAAAATACTTCACTAAAAATATTATTTTCTGTATGTGAAAGACTTATAATGTTAACTTTAATGTTAAATTTTGTGAAGGTATACACACTGTATTGAAAGTATTAAATCTATACAAAGAGGTCACGTGGTTGGTGAAATTGACTGAGCCTGTGTTGAGAGAGTTAATAGTTTCAGATAGTATATATGTATAGATTACCACATTTATAAGTCAGACAAGACCCAGCTGATTTTATTGTTTCAGTTCTTGCACAGTCACTTATTTAGGGATTTGACTTTAATAAAGGCACATTTTTAATGTATGTACATGGACAGGAGAAAACTAATTATGGCCTTATATAACTTTAAGCTGCTTTTGCTTTTAAAAGTTAACAATTCTATTAGATCATGCATTAGATATATATATATATGTATACAAATTATTTAAGAAAGCTACAAGCTTTTTTGCTCTCTCTAATTTTTTCTTCTCTTTATAAAATTACATTTCATTATATATATATATATATACTAAAATTTGATGGTTATTTTTTTCATGTGAACTGTTTTTATAAATAATTATATGTTACTGATAAAGATATTTTGAATGAAATTCTGAATTGATGTGAAGAATAAGCAGCCTTCATGATGATTCTTCCTCAAAAAGCAGCAATTTCTTGCGATGAATTACAAAACATAATTAAAAACATTACCTGTTTTCTCAAAATTTTAATTTTACAAGTTCTTCCCTATAATTTAACTTCTAATGAATGGCTCTGCAATGTGGAATATAAAAAGTGGCTTTGTTTAGCACATCTGACACTCTATACAGCCATATCTGGTGTTTTGTCATTTAAAATAAAAATAGAAATTTTTAAAAATTAAACTGTAATTCACCACCATTCTACTGTGGGAAAAAAACTTAAACATTTGATGGATATATAAAACCTTACAGCACCAAGTCACACATGGAAATAGTAATTAATGATACTGAGAAGTCAATGAAACAAGCTTAACAATTAAGAAAATACACAAACATGAAGCTGGTGTGGAGAAAAATTAATCAAATGGATAAAGCAGTGAAGTACACATAAACATAACTAAGAAACAAAAGTACAAGAAAAATAAATATCTTGATTTTTTTTACCTCTTTACTGAGTTATCTTATTATCATCTGAAACATTGTTGCTTTATCTTTGTTTTTTAAGAAAATTTATCCAATAACTTTAAATTTTAAGTATTTTTAACTTGTGGGAGTGTATTGAAATATACAAAATCAAGTACAAATTAATAAGAACTTTAATACAAGTTTTAGTATACATTTTAAGTGTTAATTCACGCTACTGAGTGTTTAGTCTTACATGACTAATTTAAAAACACATTAATTTCCAGAGTTAAAATAGGTTAAATTAGTGTCAGTAGTTTTGATGTGGAAATCATATATTAAATTGTGGTGGTATTTTCAGGAACTTCATGGTCTAGATCCTGAGCCTATAGAAAATGTAAGTACATTACTATATTAACTTCTTATAAGTTAGTTATATCAGTGGTTTTCAAACTTTTGGACAGTGCCCCCCTCTTCTCTGGTACTTGGTGCTCCTCTGTACATATACACATATTAGTAAAATGTATACAATATTCTACTATCACTAATCAGGTTTGTTTGTTTTTTTTCCTGTAGAGCATGCCCCCCACCCCAGCTCAATAACCACTGAATTATGTAAAACTTTTGGAAAGTAGCTGTTTAAATATGTTACTCAAAAGAAAATAGACTTCTATAATAATACTTTGAAAATCTATATATATGTGTTATATACTTATAGCATATTTTACCTCTAACATATAGACATGATACTCAATATTTTTTTCTTTCCATCAGATTAAATATACTCACTTATTAGAAAGAGAGAATGGGCCAGAAACAAAAGAATTGGTGTTCTCAGCATTGAATGAAGGTGAGTTATGGAAAGTATGCTTTAATACCAAGAAAATATATTTATTTCAAAACTCTATGAAGCTCAAGATATGGTACTATGAAGCTGTAGTAACACACGTTTTGAGATTTTATCTTTCAAAATAACTGCACAATCATATAAACATACAACCAAAAGTAGGTTAAGTTGATTGGATTTCTGTTTTGTGATTTCTTGGTATTGTGCATGTTAAAAGATGAATATATTGGGGAGTATATTCAGTTAAACCTAAAAAATTATGAAAGTCAGAAACCAAATCTTTTGAAATCTATTAATATCTTGGTTCATAAATCATATTATCCCTCCAATGGCTTATAAGTCTGAAGGCGTATAATTCTGTCTGTGGTGGGCATGACACAGATAGTTCAATGTGTAGCTTTGTGCTTAACAACAAACAAAATCATAACCATTAAGTATGATGATACAGCATATTATGCTAGAAATCTGATTTTAGATCAATATATTTTTAATTTTTCCAGTTATCTTATGTTAGTACAGTCTGCTGTTTGATATAAAAGATTCTTATTTTGGTGAATGTTTGTTTCGGTGAAAGTTTAAAATATTTAAAATTAGTCATATCCTTCACAAGTTTTGGGTTTAATTATATTGAACACTATTCATATTAACTATTGTATAATTGTAACAGTTTGGTTAGTGGTCATTACAGGTGGTTATGTAACTTGTACCAGCCAATGGTTTATCTTTAGGCATGGTATAGCTCCAGTTGTCAAAATTGCTGACAGCATTATTATTCCTTTTAGCTATTATGAAAAAGTTAACTATTCATGAACAAAATTGTTCTTGAAACTGACAGAGGAGTAATGTACTGCTAATAACACTGGGCTTTTATAAGTCTGCTGGCTTACATACTACTAGTGTTCGGCAGAGCACTGACAGCCCATTATGTATTTTTATGCTTAACATAAATTAAACCAAACACTTGGATGTAATGTTGCTGAAGATATGTTCATGCTGTTAAATCAATATCAACAGTGAATGTAGATCTTACTCCGTATCTTTTTAAAACTTCCTTTAAGGAAGCAAAGTGTAAGAACAGTTTTATTATATTTCATGGCTACTATAACATTTAAAAAGTGAAGATTTAGTAGCTAACAGCTTAATGTATTTGTGAGATTTTCATCAGTTTAGGGTTGATATAGCAACACTTAAGTTATACCTCACTTTAATTGTTTTTGAAGATGGATTTTGTACTGATATGACAGCTGTGTTTTGTATAATAAAACCAGTATGCTAATTGCATTACTTACTACAAGTTTCAAGTTTTTGTGTAAAATTTACTGCTACCAATTTTTTGAGTATCTGTATACATTCATTTTTAGTGATAAATTTTTGTATTATTGGATGTAGCTTTCTTCTCATGATTAGGACATATAATATAAAGTTGAACTGTTTAAAGTATTATGTAAAAGTAAACAGTCAGTACTTCAACATTCACTTTTAGCCACTCAGCTTGCCAATGCACTGTATGCTACTGGGACCAATCTAAGTCGCAGCGTCAGTAGTGCAGGAGAACATCATAGTGAGGCTTACTACTCACCTGTCTTGCCAAAACGTGCTGAAACATTTGGAGGTTTTGATAATCCAAACAAAGAGCAAAACAGTTCCAACAAAAGTACTGGTACAGTTTTTGTAGATTCTTTATAACATCTTCTAACTTTACAACTTTTTTTTTTAAGAAAAGCACAAGTCATTACTAATATTAAGAAGTTCTAATACATGTAATAGTATCATATCATAGTATAATATTTCAAGATAATCAAGTTTAATGTTATGTAAATTTATCCCAACTCTGCAGTTATTACATCTTGTTGTGAATACCTTTTTCTCTTATTAGCAATTAAAGAAAAAACTTACTTTTAAAATTTCTATCCTTCTCAAATGATAAATGGTTATGTTGAACAATTACATTAATGAGATATTATAAGCTACTTTGTTTGAAAGCTATAATGCTGTGCAGACATGTATAGTAACAAATAAATATTAGCTTTCCTATGAAATAAATGTTAAGGTAAAAGTACATAGACCAGTAGTGAAAGAAAATATACATTGTGATTGTATTTCAGCTCCTATTTGTAAGGCAGAATGTGTAGCAAAAGCCAAAACCTGTCTAAATTCTTTGTGTACCTTAGAAGTATTTATTTTTATGATCTGTCAGAATTCTTTAACTTGTTAGATATAATTATCAGATATGTCAGCGCTATTAAACATTATATGATTTTTATAACTTCTACACTGAATATGGTTTTGTATATTTTTACATATATTCCTGATAAATATAACTTCATTTAAAAATGTAAACAATGTTACTTAAATTTGTTTTTAAGATTTACTAAAAATTGGTTAAACATACAGCCAAATTTTAATGCCAACATTTAAGTTTTGAAATACACATTTCAAAAATTAACCCTTTCGAGACAGGTTAGGGGTGAAAGGCCATGTCAGCTTGTTTATTGACTCACATTCAAAATTTTATTGAACTACTATTTCATGAAATTATGTCAATAAGTTTGGTATGAAACTATAGATTATAAGTGAAATTTTATTACTATATATATATATATAT